TTCGATTCATCGAACAATTCCTTTTCAATGGATAGCAACATGTATGATTTCAAATTCTCCTCAGGAAGCGAATTTCTTAAACTTGTCTTTATTATCTTTAGCTTTGAAAATGTCCTCTCACATTGAACTTGAATAACTGATATTAAGCAGGTAACTTCATGAAAGTTTATTTTTATTATTAACACTGTTGTACATATTTGTTTCGTCATTGCATATTTACTTGATATAGGGGTCAACCCCATCAGGGATCCATTTGCCATCGGGCAAGCTGTTTCCATAACTAGTACTATTCCATACTTAATAAATACTGTGCCTCAGGAGTAGGGAAGGAGTGAGTCACTCGTTCACGACCGGCTGATCGGTTGAACTCTCTGCCTTCGGGCGAGGAGGAACCCGAAGGAGGCTACGCCGAAGGGCGGATTCTCTTTCTGGGAAGTAAACCAACCCTGAACCCGTTTATACGGGTTCAATGGGCATATTTTTGGGCCGAGCCCACGGGCTCGGGGATCCCATGTTAAAAACGGCCTTGTGCCAGATGATGTCCCAGTGGGGCGGGGGTGACTGAATATCGTAAGTCAGTAGTTCAAGTGGAGTCAGTAGTTGGAGTCAGTCAGTTCAAGTCGAGTCAAGAATCGAGTCAGAGGCAGTCCGAAACAGAGTCGCATTCAGATAATTACTGCAAGACATTGGAATAGTGATACTGGTCAAGACTACATTTTTCTCTCTACTAAACCTGATTGTTCGTACTAACACTTTCTACTTCTCTGTATATATTCCTGTTTGTAATATATCTGTGTTATTCCATACCTGTGTTCGAGTTCTTCTTTATTGGTTCTACCTTGGACTATCACCGTGGTACAAGGAACCGGACCATGACACAAATTATCCGACAGTTGATCATTAGATCAAATATTGGGAAGCATTTTCTTCAAACTTGGAGAAAATATTCGTATTGATGTCTACCATAAGGCCATGTAATACCATAAGGCTACTCAGGGGGCAGTTATGTGTGGAAAAAGATGGTGATCCGCGCCACATAGTCAACAATATACAGAAGTTCTGCGAAGCTAATTTTTCGGGTGTCTGACTCGCAGATTTCTGGGGTTCTCCAGTCTAGACTTGAACCCGCTAGACTATGTTGTGTGGAGAGTTTTACGGTACGCTACCAACAATATATCTGATCTAAGCATAAATAACTTTTGGACAGCCATTAACAAGAGCGGATCAAAATGCCGAGCTAATGTGATGCTAAACAATTGGGCAACATTGAAATTCTATTATGCCTAAACTGAAAAGTAATGCAAGTGACAATAAATAAATAACTGATTTTGAATTGCTTTTTTTCATTTTAAAGTCTATTTATATATTTTTCAAGCTTTTCTTCCCCACGATATATATGTGTGTGCGTGAGTGTTTGTGTGAGTGTGTGTCTACATGAGTGTTGCATAGAACACGATGGCATATATATATATATATATATATATATATATATATATATATATATAAGAAGTAAAAGTAATACGATAATAGTAACGAGAAATAATTGCATAATATATGTAAGTAAAATATACGCACACATACAATCACATATATATCGTATTACTTTTGCTTACATATATATATAAGTAAAAGTAATTGCATTATAGCACACACGCACGCACACACACATATATATATATATATATATATATATATATATATATATATATATATATATATATATATATATATATATTATATGCGCGGTACTTATTGGAAAGCGCTCAATATCAGAGCTAACATATTCACTTGTATGGATATGAGTTTGTCACCTTGGGTTTCACACTTTTGCGATCATCAAGGGTTACAAACTCATATCCATACAACTGAATATATATATATATATATATTTCTTATGTATTGGAAGTATATTTTCATGTCTGATTAAACAATTTAGACATGTTTTGCTAACTAATCTTCAATAATATCCTTTCGTAATCACGTATAAGTTTTCTTGTTTCATGATTGAAGAAAGCAACATTGTCCGAATAATGTAAATAGTAGTCGCCATATTTATTACAACGTGCCACGTGCCATGTTTAAGTTATCCAAGTTGTCCACTCCTTAACCGGGTATTGAACTCACCAACGCCTTTATCCACTGTGCCATGTGTCTTTGAGGACATCTGTTTATAAATTTCTGGGTATTATAAACTTAATGTCTCAACAACCACTTTTTTTTACCAGTACTTATATTGCAATTTTTTGCTGTTATCATTGTATGTTTTTTTGTTGTTTTTTTTCAATACCCTGTTGAAAACTTGGAGAGGGAAATTAACAGGAGATACCTGATAACTGACATCCATTAAACATGGCACGTGGAACTAGAACAGTCTACCCCAGTGAGCGAAATAAAGGGTTCAGTTCGACATTCCAACCACCTGAAGAAGGCCGGAGCGTACAACGGCCGAAACGTTGTAATAAATATGGCGACATAGATGCGGACAATAGTCCGAATAATGTAAATAGTGTACATAATACCTCATCTCAGAAATATAGACAGATACTGTGGTTATATTTGTCCACTTTTATTTTTCATTTTTAGCGAGTACTTTCGATATTTTTTCCAGTATTATCAAAGATTTGACGGCTAATACAAATAGTTGTGTTTGGCCGAAATAAGTTTTTGCTTTTGTTGTTAAACAGTTCAGATCACGCACAAAGACACAAAAGCTGATTTTAAAATTTTTTGCAAGAGAAATTCTTTGTGGTTGAATTATTAAGATCATGATTATGCCCGTCACCGAATTGTCAAATAATTTTAATGTAAAGGATGTAACTTAGTTAATAATTACATTACTAAGGAATGATATAATTTATTTGTTTTTAAATTATTAGTTGTAATTTGTTTTGTTTTTTTTTTAAAAAAAACTATGTCCTATAAACATTTCAGAACATTTGTACTGTATTCATAATTAATTTTGTTAAGTGTTGGTTTTAATTTTTTAATAAAGATAGCTTCAAGAATTTGTAGTTCCAGCTTATGACTTTCTTACTATTGCCAGCTCATATGTTTCTAAATTGTGAATGTGGACTAGAATGTGTTTGTAAATGTTAGGCAAAAGATGACGAATCATTTAAGTGTAGGGTGAGCCTTCTAGATAACGTGATTGTCGTATAACCAACATATATAGCTTTTTTGCCGGAGATACAATCTCTCAAGGGACATTTAAATTGATATAGAATGTTTTTTTTTTTGCAATACCAAATTGGAGAGAAACAGTTATAGCTGATGATTAGGTTAGTAGTATTGAATTTAGTATAGTATATAATTCATTTTTTGTCTCGTTTATATTTAAGATATATTTGATTACGATATAAATGATTGATATGTTTAGGGTTATTTGAGTTGTTCTTATAGATAAACATTAAGGTTTTGAGCTGATTTTTTATGCAAGTATTGAGCGAGTTTATACTTGCATCTGTATGTAAACATTAGTCGGGTTTATACTTGAGGCAATAGGTAAACATTAGTCGGGTTTATACTTGAGTCTGTAGATAAACATTAATCGGGTTTATACTTTAGGTTATAGATAAACATTAGACAAGTTTATACTTGAGTCTATAGATCAACATTAGTCGGGTTTATAATTGAGCCTATTGATAAACATGAATCGAGTTTATACTTGAGTCTATAGGCAAACATTAGTCGGGTTTATACTTAAGTCTATAGATAAATATTAATCGGGTTTATACTTGACACTAATAGATAAACATTAGTTCGGTTTAAACTTGAGACTATAGATAAACATTAGTCATGTTTATACTTGAGGCTATAGATAAACATTTGTCCGGTTTAAACTTGAGCCTATATATAAATATTAGTTGGATTTACACATGAGTAAACAGATAAACATTGACAAGGTTTATACTTATACACCCAGGTTTATATTTATTTATCAGGTTTATACTTGAGTCTAAACACTTAACTTAATTCTAATTATGTAGGTATATATTCGTCAGATGTATTTTTGTGCCAACAAGTCCCGTCCCGGAAGTTTACCGTGTTTTAAAGGATTTTACCCTTCCGCGGGTGACCAGTCAGGCTACAGGGAATAAACAGCTTGTTTGATGGTGTGGGGCTATTTATCAATTATGAAACTATTGTCCTTAAGAATAAGAAAAAGACAGCGTGGATTGGGCCCTTCCTCGCCACAATTCTATATATGATCCTTGCAGATTAAGAAAATAAGAAGCATAGATTAGATGTGGCTATTCAGTCAGACTGTTAGACTTGAGGCTTGATAAACATTAGTCCCGTTTATACTTGAGTCTATAAATAAATATTAGTCGGGGTTTTTACTTAAGGTTATAGATAAACATATCGAGCGATTCAGAAAATTTGGAATATTGGCAGCTGAGCTAAAAAATGACCTACAAGCTGTTGTTAACTGGGGCAAGAAATGGCTTGTTAAATTGAACGCCTTAAAACAAAACTGGTGTCTTTTAATCATGTGAGAAAACTTTTTGTACTTACACCTGCAGGGCTGATGCTAACCTCCAAGAGAATGTACGATTTCTTGGGCTTACGTTTTTCCGTTGACATGAAGTGAAAAGATTATAATAAATCAAGTTTTACGTATGGTGCTATTATTTTAGGTCTACCCCCACCCCTAGAATCTATCTTACAAATTTATAAGTCTACCATTATTCCATGCAATGAATATTGCTGTCACATCTGGTCTGGTGATTCTGCTACGTATTTAGAGATTCTTGATAAAATCCAAAGAAGACTATGCAATATTATCTATTCTGACCAGGAATGAATAGTAAGTTCTGACTGGATGCCCCATACTTTCGGCCTTGTGCCACATTTTAGAAAATCACCATACGTACTCTGTGTACACATAAATACTTCCTGTAGTCGTTCCTAATAACATGACGCTATTGTTAAGTGTTATCTTCCTACTTCCTGTCTAAAATGCATTTATTGTAGACATTATACGTTTTGTACTTCTATAGGAAAACTTTCTCAATACAAAATACATTACGTTTCTTTCTTTTCCCTTTCGATTCTTTTTCTTCTTTTTTCTTTCTCTTCATTTTTATCTGTTTTTCTTTCTTTTCTTTCTCCTTATTTCTTTCCTTTATTCTTTCTCGCCTTTCTGTTTTTACACTTGCTGTTATTTTTTCTTTCTCTTCATTTGTTTCCTTTTTCCTTTCTTTCTTTTCTCTTTCTTTCCGTTCCTTTGTCTTTCTCTTGATTCCTTTACCTTTTCTTTCACTTCATTCTTTTCCTTTTTTTCATTCTCTTTATTTCTTTCCTTTCCCTCTTCATTCGTTTCCCTTTCTTTCTCTTCATTTCTTTCCTTTTATCTTTCTTCTTTTGTCTCTTCTCTTTCGTTATGCCTTTTATTGTCATTTCTTTCCATCTTCTTTCGCTTCCTGTTTTCTTTTTTCTTTCATTTTTTTTCTTTCTCTTCATTTCTTTCCATTTTTCCGCTTTCTTTTCTCTTTCTCCTCATTTCCTTCCTTTTTCATTCTCTTCATTCATATCATTTTCTTTCATTTCATTTCTTCGTTTGTCTTTGCTTTTCTCCTTTTCTTTCTCCTTCATTTCTTCTTTCTCTTCATTTCTTTCCATTTTTCCACTTTCTTTTCTCTTTCTCCTCATTTCCTTCCTTTTTCATTCTCTTCATTCATATCATTTTCTTTCTTTTTTCTTTCATTTCATTTCTTCGTTTGTCTTTGCTTTTCTCCTTTTCTTTCTCCTTCATTTCTTCTTTCTCTTCATTTCTTTCCATTTTTCCGCTTTCTTTTCTCTTTCTCCTCATTTCCTTTCTTTTTCATTCTCTTCATTCATATCATTTTCTTTCTGTTCCTTTCTTTCTTTCTTTTTTTTCTTTCTCCTTCATTTCTCTTTCTCTTCATTTATTTCCTTTTTTTCTTTCACTTCATTTCTTTCCTCTTTCCGTTTACTTCCTCTTTTCTTTCTCTATATTTCTTTCTTCTTTTCTTTCAATTCTTTTTCTTTCTCTTTTTTCTTCTTCCTTTATTTCTTCCAATCACTTCTTACGTGAGCATCGATAATCACTTAGTTTTCCAATCTAAGATCATTAAAATGATATCTCAGATTTTTTTTTCTCTCGCCACAATTAATTCCAAAATAATAGCAAAGTGATTTTCTTCCCCCGAAATGTCTCCCCTGAAAAACCGCCATCATTTCTCTCGCCTCCACCATTTTCTCCCGCCCTGATGGCGTCCATTGCCTGAAGTCATATGAATCATAAACGCTAAATTATTCCACTCCGATCTGGTCCGACATTTTCTATTTATCTCTTAAAAAATATGGGGAAAATAAACAATAATTCGTGTATATAATACTATTTTTTTATTATTATTATTTCATTCATATTGTTTGTTTTTCTATTGTGTTCTATAGAATGCCAAGTGGCACTAAACCACTTCATCACTTTGCTTCCTTGATTCTACTCTTTCTGAAAACTTTCGATCTGTCTTTATATTCATTATTTCTGCTGGGGAACTTTTTCAATAGGAGCAGATAGGTTCGTCTATCGTCCGCTTCACACAGCTCCCCGGGTCTTTTGAACAGGTGTCGGAATTTATCCCTTGTTGCTTTTTTTTAGGATCGGGTCTCCGGTTCCTTGATTACTTTAACCCTATACCTTCTAAAGTTTCCACCTAAATTCCGAGTTTTATTCATCGTTTATTTACTGCTTTTCCTCAATATGAGTAAATAGGTTCGCCTCTCGTCCGGTTCACACAGCTCCCTGATTTTTTGAACAGGAGTAGAGGTTTATCCCTTTTTTTCCTGTTTAGGATTAGGTTTCCGCTTCCTTCTAAAATCTTTTCATTCTCTTTTACTCCCAGTAGCGCGTTGCGTCTTAGTGGCATTATCGCCTTGCTCGAGGAGAATTGATTTAAAAAAATCGCGATTTCTTTCTTTCTTTCTTTCTTTCTTTCTTTCTTTCTTTCTTATCAAGAGATGTTTTTTGAAATTTTTCTCAAATATTTAACTATTATTATTATTATTTAAAAAATCTTTTTGACTTGCATTTTTATTTGAGTCGGATGCCAGGTCATAACCTTTGACCCAGGGCAAGCGAAGGTTTCCAGTTCCTTCTAAAGTCATTTCATTTTCTTTCACTCTCAGTAGCGCATTGCGTCTTAGTGGCATTATCGCCTTGCTTGAGGAGCATTGATTAAAAAAAAAAATCTTCTCCACTATTTCTTTCTTTTTTTTTATCAAGAATTGTTTTCTGAAAATTTTCTCAAATGTTTAACTATTATTATTAATATTATTGTTATTTAAATTTTTTTTTTTGACTTGCATTTTTTTTTTAATCCGACGCCAGGTCATAACCTTTGACCCGGGGCAAGCGAAGGATTAGGCTTTTTGTTGTTCCCACTTAATTAAAGAAAATACAGCAATTCCCCAAAACAGCTTAAATGAACAAACCTCTTCCCAGAAAATAAGATATGCTTGTTAGAACTCTTTGGAGGAATTCCTGGAAGAGATGGTGCAAAAGGGATTTTATTGATTTGTTGTTCTTCAGTTCCTTTCTTTTTTAGTCCCAAAGCTCCAAACACAATACGAACAGTTTTAGTTTTTAAGTGCCACTTTTTTTTTCTATTTCCATCTTCTTTTTTTTTTTTTTTGTATTTGTTTAGTTTCTCAAAAACCTTCACAGAGACGTTTTTGTCACTTGGTACGTTCCTGTCAATCAGGTCTTCTTTTCTCTCATTGGTAATGTCTAGGAGATTTGCTTGCATTGTTCGATCTCTATTGATAGAAAAATCTCAGAAGTTAACATCTACTCCCTCACCTACAGCTGTTTTTATCCCGTAATTCTTCTTATTGTTAGCATTAAATACGATGATTGGCATAACACTTCCTGTATTTTTCAACACTTAGAGAAGTGCCCGATTTAAAGAAAGAAAGAACACAGTAAATAATATTTCGACGGTATGCCTGTCTTCTTGAAGTCAGGTTTGAAAACTGGATACAAGTGTACAAATATTTATCTTGAGAAAAACGCGACACAAACGAATGAAACCGCATGCGACTAAAACGCAAGTAACATGATCGGTTTCGTGTTTATCTTGAAATTTTCCTTTATTCGATGAGTTGCTAAGAGGAATTCATTAAATAATTTAGTATAAATCTTATGGAACTTTCCTGTCATTTTGTTCGTACCCCGGGGTGGGACGCGAGTAATTTGCATATGTAATTTACCTTCATGCGTCTTAAGAGTTGAATAACCGGTGAATTCAAAATGTGCACTTTAAAATGTTTGTCGAAGTTAGAGTCGTTTGTGATAAATTATTATTATTATTATTATTATTATTATTATTATTATTATTATTATTATTATTTCCTTTGTTTTTTGTTGTATACACATTTCCTTCCGGGTCCCCACCAGAGATCTAAGATCAGAAATGGTGACATTTTCCACTGATAATTTTTGTAAAAAGAAAACAAGATCACAAATATTTTGCATAGATAAAGCTAGACATGTCCACTAATTCGCCGAAAAAAAAGCATAACCCGATGAAAAAAGGACCCAAATTTAATAAAAACGAAGTTTTACTGTCAAAATGTTTATGTTATTATTAAGAGGAAACACCAAAGTAGTTTTTGATTATTATATTATATATATATATATATATATATATATATATATATAGTTTTATAATATACTATATTATATACTATATAATATACTATATTATATACTATATATTATTATACTATTATAATATTATCATACTATATATTATAGTTTTATATTAAATGTTTTCATGCATTCTAGTATTTCGAAATTTTGGTTAAAAATCTTTTTATTTACGTCATCGGTCTACGTAATAATTACCATTAGTGTTTTAGCGCTTTTTTCAGGTGAAAAACACATTGATTTGGAAATTCTTGCAAAAAACAAATAACTGTCAGATTTTAAAGAAACTTTCAGAATTTATTCACAAATGAATGAGATTATTTTAGAATTGTTTTTTTAGAAAGTGATGCTAAAAATATATTTTTTGCATCTGTTACCCCCCACCTTTTTCATTTTATGAAAACTCGAGAAATTGGACGGCGTGTATTTTATTGATTATATTAGTTAAAAGCAGAAAACTTTGAAGAATATAAATCATCGATTTTTTTGTAAAATCGAATCAAGCAGTTACCCAAAATTCAGCTCTGAATTGTAACTTACAAAACTCAACAAAGTAACATATTATTTAATTAGAAAAGCTTTTAATGGCTTTTATGTGTTCAGGACAATATTATGTGTTCAGGACAATATTATGTGTTCAGGACAATATTATGTGTTCAGGACAATATTATGTGAAGGCAAAATAGTTTTCTCATGAAAAATGAATTTTTGCAACATTTGTTTTCTGATTTTTTCAATTTTAAATACAAAGTGTTATAAAGTTGTTAAATATTTTAAAATTAAGTTTCCGTTCGTTCGCTTTAGGAAATTAAGTATATCTATCTTAACATATAAATTTGAAAACTTATTGCAATCTGCGACACACATGTATTGTAAAAAAGAATTTTACAGTTTTTGAGTCTGCATAATTTTTTTTTTCAAATATATGGATGATGGTAAATGATCTTAATGTCACATGTCTTAAGAATTGTTTCTTCTGATGGAAATAAACTGATCTCAGAAAATGTTAGTTACTTTTCATACTGCGAACAATTGTTGAATTCTCTGACTGACTTTGGCCATCATCGTCGCATATTTAAAAGTTTTATTTTTTTACGTCCTTTTTCAATAAATATTTTAATTTATTTTTTTTTTTAAATATGATTAATTTATTGTTTTTACATCAGTCAGTTATTTGCCATGCATGATTCACGTTTAAGCGATCATGTATCTTTCGATACATGACTGAGGAGGCAGATTTTTTTTCCCGCAGTAGATAGCGATTTCTTTCTGCGGTAGACCAGTTACCATCCAAAGATAAAGAACACGGTCTTTCCTGCTATTTACCCAGAGCTGGGAGTAGAAGAAAAGAATTCATACCTTTCCCAAGGGTATTAGTACATAAGTGAATGTAATGGATTTGACTGGAAAGTCAATTAGTCAGTTATGTGCCATGAATGATTGACATTTAGGCAATCATGTATCTTTCGATACATAACTGACGAGGCAGATTTTTTTCCGGGGTAGGCTACCATTTCTCTCTGAGGTAGACCAGTTGCCATCCAAGGCTATAGAACCCGCTCTGTCCTGTTATTTACCCATAGCTGAGGGGAGAAGAAGAGGAATCACACCTTTCCCAAGGGTATTAGCACGTAAGTGAATGTAATGGATTCGAGTGGAATTCGAACTCGGCTCTCCGATTCCTCTGTTCAAGCCGCTATCCATTACTTCTGTGAGAGTCATCCTGCAATTATTAATTATTTTATTTTTTGGCTTGAATTCTAGGAACGGAAACAAAATAATTAATTTAAAAAATAAGGAAAATTAAAAATTAACACATTAAAAAATAACATTTCATAAAAATGAGAGCGCTACCTATAATTATTAGGTGCCTATAATTATTAGGCGCCTATAATTATTAGGTGCCTATAATTATTAGGTGCTTATCTTATTTATGAAAATTTATTGTATCATTTTTAATTATTAATTTTTATATTATTTCAGTTGTGAAATCTTTTCATAACCGCGATATAAAAATTAATAATAAATATAGGTAATACCACCAAATTTCATAAGAGATATATATGTAAAAATTACGTATCTTTCTTATGAAATTTTATCTCACTTTCAGTTTTGAAATTTAAATTTATTTTATTGTTTATATTTTAAATTTTATTTTTCCAGAAATCATCTTCAAACGGATAGGTAAAGTAGCTCAAAAAAGAAAAAAAAATCCATAAAATATTAGATTGCTGAAAGTATTTGTTAATTTTAAAAAATGACTGCGTAGTTAAATTAATTCACTTAATATTTGAAAAAAACATATGTCACTTCTGTTCTTCCGTCCGATAACTTCCCTTGAGTTGTCAATATATCGATTTAAATGCCAGTTAACACCTACAGAACAAATGACCG